ATATTAAAAGTGCACTAAGGATTATTGAGAATTACAGTTTTAATGATTTATCAAGTTGTACCAAAACAAACTACAATGGTACAACCGTGCAAAGTAACTAAGTATGATTCTATTTATTGATATTTTATTCAACATAAAGTTATTTGTTTTCATATGTAAGTTCTAGCATATGAATTCTATAGTTTGACTACTCAATTTTTAAACCTCTAAAAAGGTTTTGTGGAATTGGGTATAACTCACGACATGTAATTTAAGATTAAATCGTTAGTTATATAATAAATTTTGTTAGTAATTAATTACCTTCAAGGAATAATTATATGTCTATCATGTATATTGGTGATAGCCTAATTGTGGCAATGCATGAAATTTTTAAAATCTCAAAAAAAAGATATTTGATAAAGTTCTAAGAGTTTTAGAATTTGTATATCTTGGTTTGTTCAAGATGTTGATGGGGTTTCATATGATTTTCTTTGAGTATTAAAGTAATTGAACAAATTAATATTGAAAACCTTCCCAAAGGTTTTAAGATTTTCTCAATTCATATATTAAAGAATTATCATTATTAAAATTTATAAAAAGATATGCTCGAGAGGGATTGTAGAACCATATATATATAAATGGAAGATAGTCCTAATAATGTTTTATGATTAATATGAATATCAAGAGTTTATGTATTAGGACTAATGACTTCTATCACTTAAGATTTTTTCAGATATCAAGAAATTTTGTTACAATGGGAGATTGGTTAATTTTCTAATAAAGATTCTGAAATGTTATATTATTTATAGATAATTGTTCCAGTGGGAGCTTGGAAGTTGATGTGGACGGTACTACCAAAGTAGACCATTTATTGAGATTCACATGTTTCTCAATAAGGATTCTAGAATATTATATTAGGTAAGTGTTCTAGTAAGAGTATGTGAATTGACGTGGGTAATACTATCAAAGTGGGCTATCTATTAAAATTCACATATTTTTTTATAAGGATTCTATAATATTTGCTTTTTAAAATCAATGTGTATGATTACTTGCCCAAAGGAGATGATTGTGCATATCAACTAAAGGAAATGTGCGTGGTTAGTAAGGGATCCTATTTTGGTTTCATAGGGAATTTTCAACTCAAAAGGGATTATTTTTTGTGGAACCATTCTTATTAATTCACTTATAATGAAAATTTCATACCCAATGGTTTTATTAAACTACTATGTCATTAAAATTAAGACACACTTCGTTATACACTAATGGTTCCCATTACTTGTGCCGTTAAAATTGATAGTTTCCGTTACTTATGTTGTTAAAATTGATGGTTTCTATTACTTATGCTTTTAAAATTGATGGTTTTCGTTACACACTAACGGTTTTGTCAATGTGTAATGGAGTATGTAGTTGTGCAGGGCGTATGTATCATTATCTATTAGTGCAAGCAATATTTTACCCAAAGGTGATTATTATGTACATTAACTTGAAGTAGTGAGAGTAATTAGTAAGGATGATAAGTATTTATACATATGTACCAAAGGATGACCTTCCTCCTAATTGACTTGTTAAAGTTTAATTTTATGGATTTATTTAATCAAGATAAAGTGCAAATAAAATAAATATAGTTGTGTCTTGAACTCTTTTGAGTTAAAAAGGAATTATGCTATGCATTAAAGTACACCTTATAAGGCTTATTTGAAAAGAATTTTATAGAAATAAGGGTTCAGAATTAAAATTACACTAGTTTAGAGACTAAGCAATAGTTAGCAAAGCGCAAAAGGAGATGGAACTACTTCTCACCAAAGATAAAGATTTAAAAGAGAAAAATAATCAGATTCAACTGAAGTGAAGAAAAGGAGTGATGATGAAGCCGAAGAGGGAGACTTTTACAAAAGGTTAATTCAACAAATTGTCAAAAGACTTTGAACTAATGGTTGGGTAGAGTAAATACATGAAGTTTCTTGATGATTACAAGAGGTTGAATTTACAATACAACTACCTCCTTAGTAAGAAAATCCTTGCTTTAGAGTGCATGACAGCACCACATAAACTCGAATGTGTAAGGCGTCACCGCAATCAAAATTCTTCACTAGGTAAGTTTCTGTTACTTAGCCTTCTACTTAGAGATATATTCTCAATTTTATGGTTTTTATGTTGCTAATGGCAAGATAATATAAAAGTTGGTTATCCACTATTCAATTATTTCAGAGACATTAGTGGGAATTAAATAGTTTATTACTTGATATATAATGATAACGTTATTGATAAGAACAAGTTGCTTAGTTGCAATGGTGAAATTCTTAGACATATGTATTATGAATTATATAGAAAATAATTCTTGTAAAAAATGCAATTGTCTTTATTAAAATTTATAAAGTCTTGTCATTCTTTTACTTTTGTGTTTGATCAAATTTTAAAGATCATGTTATTTTGGGTAATGGATAATAGATGATTGTTTTCATTAGAATATTTTATATTTAATGGTGTTAATTATCTATATGGATAACTTGTTTACAAAATTTGATGGAAAAGACATATCAAAGTTAATTGTTGATTTAGTTTATAAAGAGTGACATTAAGGTAAAGTTATGAATAATGATTATAGTCATGCAATTTTTTGACTGTGTTACCTAATTTACTAATTAAAATATTATAACTTAATTAGTTATCTATGAGAATTGTTTTAGATATTTTTTATCAGCAAAAAAGGCAAATCAGCCCTTAAACTCAATGAATAGTGGTAAATTAGCCCCTCAACTAAAAACAAATGCAAATCAGCTCTTCAACTCATTTTATGGTTGCAAATCAGCCCTTATTGCATAGCTAACGTCAAAAACGTGTTAAATCAAATGGGGACTTCATTTTAGCATGCTCTATTGATGATATGGCTCGCTCCATTGATGACATGGCATTGCGGTAGAGGTTTTCATTATTTTGGCATTAAATTTACAATTTAGCCAAGAGTTTTACCTTTAATCATTATGGCTAGTGACCAAAAAAAACTGATAACATATTTTTTAAAATAATTACAATTTTTTAATTTTTCATTAAATTAAGAATTTAAAAATAATGTTTGTCTTTATCTATAATTTCGTTATAAAAGAAACAAAAGATAAAAAAATTTATGATTAAATAATCAACTAAAGTGAATAGATAACAATAAGTTTAAAGTAGAAAAAATTATTTGTCTATTTTAAAAAAAAAAGACAATTAATTTAAAACAAATTCAAATTAAAAAACAACAATCATCATGGGACAAATGAAATATTACTTGAACTTTAGTAAGCTTAATTTTTAATTTAAGATGTTTAAATTTACTTGTTTATTTTAAGATGTCATAAAATACATTTGTTTTTATTTTACCTTTATTTTAAAAAGATAATTATAACATATATTAAATAAAAAGATTTATTAAAATAATAATTAATTAGAGATAAATATGAAATTTTATCAATTAATTATTACATTCTTATTTTATTAGATAAAAAAAATTAAACCTAATAAAATTAAACAAAGAGAATAATGGATTAAAGTAGATAATAGTTATTAATTAAGATTAATTTCTTATGAGTATGTAGTAATTTTTTCTACCTAAATTTATTTTAGACAAAGAATTAAGAGAAAGAACTTGTGACAATGTAAGATACTAAGTTATTAGTACAATGGTATTTTTTATGTTGTAGTAATTATTGATTTAGTCATTTTAAGCTGTAACAAGTTTTTTTTTAAGTAATTGATATAAATTTGATAAATTTAAGTTTTGTCGATTGAGACATAAGTGTAATTGTTATATAAAAAATTGACTTTAATTTTATTAATTGTCTAATTAAAGTACATTTTGTGACCTTAATATTAAAAATAAAATTTATTTTCATAATTTTTTATATAAATTAGTAATAAAATATACAATAAATATACCATCAGGAAAAACCCTAATATAAATTACCAATTTAGTGCCAACTCAATGCTGATGTAGGATAAAAAATGCCACCTTATTGTTTGTAAGCAATGGACTCCACCAAAAGCACCTTTTCGTTACAAATTAATGATTGTCTAATGTAAGTCGTACAAAAAGGGCTGATTTGCAACCATGCAATGAGTTGAAGGGTTGATTTACGTTTGTTTTTAGTTAAGGGGCTGATTTGCCACCATTCACCCAGTATAGGGGCTGACTTGCCCTTTTTGCCTTCTTGATCAGTAGGATCAGTTGAATTTTCTATTAATAATAAGCTTATCTTACTTATTATATTATTTATTATTTTATAATGATGCACGTACATTGTATTGATAGTTTTTTATGAGCTCATACAGATATTGATGCTAAGATCACGAGGTATAATGGAAAAGAGCTTCTTCAGAAGTGTGTGAACTTTTTTTGAAGTGTAAAGGTTTTTCTAGAATAGTGGGGTAGATTATCTTCCAAATTTCTATAAAACTATAATAAAGTTTAAAGGTTTCATTGGGGAAGTGTAAAAGGGATTACATTCTAATAAAGAGTTTCTTTGAAATCATAAAGAGAACCGTTGTAGTTTTAATATGTTATATATTATATGAATTATATTATATCAACCACGTTACACTTTATCACGCTTATTAGAATTAATATTGATGGAAATATCTAATACTTGTGATTGTGAGGGGTCTTATGTTATTAGTGACATAATGACCACATAGTTTAGTATTGGTATTTTCATTGAATGAAATTTTGTGTTGAGATTTTAATTTAAAGTATGTTTGGTGAAACTTATAAGTGTTTTAGCTTTTTTGACACTATTCATATTTTATAAGTTTGAATTTCTCTCTTAAAAATTTACATTTTTTAACTTTTTTTAACATTAAAAAGACTTTGAACAGTAAATTTTGAAAATTTTTAAACTTTTGTCTTTTGTAAATTTTTTTTTACTTCCTTTTTACTCTTTTTAAAAGTAACTTTTAAATTTTTCCTCTAATAAAAATTTAAATTTATGAAACATAAATAGTATAAAGATAAATAATATAAAAAAAGATGAAACATTTACAAGACTGCTGGAGATGAGAAAAAGGGCATTGAAGCTGTAGAAAAGCTCAGCGAATCTGGTCTCTCTGACTTTATTCTTTTTCACCGAGTTGATGTTGCAGATCCTGCCAGTATCGCTTCTCTGGCAGATTTCATCAAATCCCAGTTTGGAAAGCTCGATATCTTGGTATATTTGAGTTCCAGTTTCTTGAATCTCTCTACCTTAACAGTTTATTTTTATTAAATATTTTTTTCCTGTTGTCCTGAAGAATCATTATCTTTTGATTAGTCCGGTAGCTAGGAACTGCCATTTATTTTCGTAAAAAGCCCCCAGAATCATTGTAAGTAATGCATGCTGAAGCATAATCATCAACCATGTGTAGGTGAACAACGCAGGAATTCCTGGTGTCATAGCAGATGCTGATGCTCTAGAGCTTCAAATTTTGGAGAGGTAAGGTTTCCGCATATAATTAATTTCCTAGGTTGGAGGATTTTAAAGATTGATTTCCACTTATCATCGAAACTCAGCCTGGTGCACAAGTCAACTGGAGGTAGATAATTACTCAAACACATGAGTTAGCTGAAGAGGGCCTCAAAACAAACTACTATGGTGCCAAAAGAATGCGTGAAGCACTAATTCCCCTCCTCCAGTTATCTGATTCTCCAAGAATTGTGAATGTTTCTTCCTCCGGGGGGTTAAAGGTAAAGTTCATAACCTTTATAAGCAACTTAAATATTTCAGAATGTATTAAAGTAGGTTAAATTGAAGTGCATATTTCAGAATGTATCAAATGAATGGGCAACAGCAATCTTAAGTGATGCTGAAAACCTTACCCAAGAGAAAGTGGATGAGATACTGAGCCAATACCTGAAAGATTATAAAGAGGGGTCATTGGAAACCAAAGGCTGGCCTGCTTATTTTTCTGCCTGTACACTCTCAAAAGCTGCCATGAATGCATACACAAGGATTCTGGCCAAGAAGTACTCGGGTTTCTGCATCAATTGTGTCTGCCCTGGATTTGTGAAAACTGATCGATATAAACTATAATACTGGAATCTTGAGTGTTGAAGAAGGTGCTGCAGGTCCTGTGAGATTGGCTTTGCTACCCAATGGTGGCCCTTCCGACCTCTTCTTCAAGCAAATGGAGGAACAGGAATTTTGATGAGGTTGTGGGAAAAATTTATGTTTTTCCTATGTTTGTAGCTTGTGTTTTTAAGGGCATGGAAAAAGTACATTAACAGTATGATGTTGATCCAAAAGACATGTATGTTTGGGAATAATTTGTATGTGATTATGATTAAGGTACTTTGTTTCTTTCTCTTTGGCTGCTTCAATGCGTCCCCCATGGCCCATCCAAACTTTATGGACATAGATGGCGTCAATGGCAATTTGGTAAAGTTTCGCCCACCTCCACCTGCATTGACTTCAAGTCAAGTCCTTCGTCAATGGTGAATTGGTGATTGGCAACTAAAAATAATGAGTAGTTTTACGGACTCTAACCTCTCTCGACTAGAAACGGTTTATGTGCACTGGGAGATCCACGCAAACTGTTTCTTACCAAAAAAAAGTTAAAAAAAAAAATTAACCCTAAAATAAAATTATCATTCAAGAGTCTGTGAAACTGACTTCGTGAATAAGAAGGAAGGTGAAAAAAGAGTATGCTCGACCAAACAGAAAGTTAGTAAATAAAAAAATTTATTTAACACCTAACGTATATTGTGCAGATTAAAATTTATTAATTCGTAAAGCCAGAGTATGAAATAAAGAATAAATTTTTTACAAGTATATTTAATTTGAGAAAAAAGAAAATTTTTTTATTTGGTTCAAAAAATTTAAACAGAAAAGGAGAAGAGCAAAGTTATTTATTGCATTTTTTTCTTTTAATTCATTCGCTTATTCAAATTAGTTTTTCAAAAGGATTAAACTTTATTTGTTAAAAAAGTTTAAAAATTCTTTATATGTATTTTAATTGTGCAAAAATTTTATTTGTAATTAATTTTTTTTATAATAACAATATAA